ACAATTGAGAAAAACTGTAACAAATTGGATTCGGCTGTGGAAACAAGAATCTTCCACACCAATCTTCATATTATTTATATGACCCCCCTGTTTTTTCCTGCTAGATGAAATTCCAATCAATTCCTGTGATTTCCATTATTAGTACTTTTGGTTAGTTGGAGCTTAGCTCAAACTGTAGAACTTAGTGGGCAACACCCCAGATTTCAATAGGGAGAGAAAATCTAGCTTAGCTTTGCATATAAAAAAGACTTTGATATTTGGAATCAGCTTGTGAAAACAAACTTGGATTAGGGCAGGGCTTTATTACATCACATTCAATTCCACTGCCAAAGGGAAAATTCAGCCAAAATAAGAAGACTATTCTTATTTGCACATTTCACATTTTTATTTGTAGAAAATGAAATAGAATTGTTTTATAGCATTATACTTTTTACAAAAATGGTAGCACAATACTGATTTGTCAGATTCTTCCTCATCATTATGTGCATACATGTAAGGTTGTGTTAGCCATGTCCCAACTACTTCTTTCTCCATGGCCTGTAGGTTCCTCAAATGAGAGACAGAATATCCATCAACTTCTCAAAAGCTCAACAGTGAGATGTACAAGGTGCACATATTCACTTTTCCAGGGCTTGTGATAAGTTAGTATAACTGTGGTAAACATCAGGGTAGCTTTGCCTTAAAGAAAAGGGTAACTCACTGGGTCTATTACTAGTGTATTGACCACTAACCTGCACTTACTGTACTTAGTTTTTATTTTGTTTAATTTGACTGTTCTTTGTGATCAGCAGTGAGCAGGCTGGTTTTGGTATATATGAGGAGCTTTTACACCTCACTTTTAAGCAGATAGCTCTTCCCACAGACAAACTAAAGATGGGCTAATGTTCAATCAATTAATACATTCAAATGACATTTTATGTAAAAACTTTCTACTCATTATTCTAATTGTCCTCAAATAGAATAATTAACAGTATAGATGTTTTAGGGTACTATTCCCTGAAACTGAACCCCCCAAAGCTCTGTACTCAGCATGGTACAGTCTGAGTTCTGTCTGCTAAAAAGCCCACTGGATACTTTAACTTCCTGTTTGGCAGTTTGGATCCATGACTAGCAGGTGGAATTGGTGGGAGCTCATGCAACAACCATTTTGTTAATTGGAGTTGAATATAACCAATAAATTAGTTTGAGCTGAATGTATTAATAAATGTATAGGTTATTTAATTTGAAATGTGAATGATGACAGCATTCATACTGAAATATTAGCTCCATCTTTTTCACAGTAGCCTAATACAATATGTGCACCACTACTGGCCCTGTACCAATTCACATGTCATTTACATGAGGGGTAAAAAAAAGAATTGTTGGGAAAGTGCCTCTGAAGGCAGCCACGGGGCTAAATGCCTGTCTCAGGCCTTCTTGACCTGTTCAGACTACAGGGCAGGATCATGAAATATCTACCTTCCCTACAAGCAGTCAGAAATACCACGCATGTGATAGGCAACTTAGCCAGCTTGTCAGCCCATCTGTCAGTCAGTCAGAAAGCAAGCCACCTCTCACAACAGGCAGTAGGTCAGCCAGGCAGACAGCTCCCCAGAAGCATCATCAGTTTGTCTGAAAGCTCGTCAGTCAGTCAGCAGCTACAGCTACCAAGCAGTCAGCTCTAGCAACAGCCTGCTAGCTCATGCAATAACCAAGCGGTCAGCCAGTTTTCCCTGTAGCAACAGCTGTTGACCCCAAACCAGGCCACAATCAGCTGCTCTGGCCTGGCCCATCAGTGGGGAAAAGAAGGGTCACAGCAGCATGTGGTGATGTTCACCTTTGAGAGGAGACAGGCTCATCCAGGCCCAGACCATCTCTTCCAACTCAGGCAACAATTCCTGATCTTTCTGCCTGATTTAAATTGAACTGCCCTTCCCAGACACACAGTCAAATTAAAGGGGCTAATCAGTAGTGTAACCCATTTTCATTCTTTTTCTTACACTTTAGTTCTATAGACCATTTTTATTTATGAGTTATTATTGGTACTTTCTTCACCCTGATAAATACTTTGTTTTGTTTGCATCTATTTGTCCTTTTATATAGCTGCGATACAACTGCACTGAGACAATGTCACATTATCCATTCCTGTTGACTTGGGAAGAAAAGCCTGATACTGTGCTCGACCCTTTTTCCATCTTGATGTCATTTCGTTATTAGCCTTTCCAACACAAACTGTCATTGTCACAGTGTAATACCAAAAGCAGGCCACCGTCCTTTTGTAAAGGTTGAAATGATTTTCAAACTTCCTCTCATTTGGAACAACTACTGTGTGAATATTTTTAATAATTAATAGTGCAGAATTTGTGTATCAGTTGTAGTATCAGTTGTGACTTGATATCTTACCATGCCTATATGCTTGCTAAAAGCATATGTATATCTCAAGAATGTCAGCAAACTGTAGAGCTCTACTGTGATAAAACAGACAGAAGGGATTTAGAAGTGAATTGCTAGCAGAGAAAATGTGCGACCTTGGATAATAACAATACTACACTGTATCTCTTAATTGTATGCCAATACTTGTAGCATTAAAAAGGCTACTAATTTAGAATTAGTCTAACATAATTCTGATATGGATTAATGTACCTAAACTCCTCTTCAGGTCATCTGCTGTATGTGTCAGTGGAAGTCATGCTAAGGAAGAATAAACTCTGAA